GATGCATCGGGCAATTGCTTCCCTAAGCCGGAATATCAAAGAATTCGTATCCAAAACATATATAACTATAAGCCCTCTAAAGCAGGCTCCCCCCTTAAATATCCGCATTTTTTTTCTTAAACTCGATAATTAAGACATTTCGTGTTTTATTCTTACGTTTTTTCCTATAGAAATAAAGATAACTCAATTCGTAACAATAAAATAACTTGATTTCTTAACTCACATTTCAAATCTATGTACGACTATCTTGCTTTGTTTTTAACAGCAAAACCATAAAAAAATGGTTTCCGTGACACCCATAACCCATACAAATTCTGTTTCGAATATCAAACCAATAATGTCTGAAAACATATTACTCGGATCAACTTGAAAATTTAGGACAATATTCCAGAGTGTTGTAGAATTTAATAAGATAATAAACAAAAGTCAATTTTTTAATACCCATAAACCCATGTAACTCCTTAAACCAACCTAAATAAAATGATCTTATCTTGAAAAAAATCGATTAATAGCAAAGTGACGTGCTCGTTTTCGAACAAAATTGTGTTCAATCCTGATCGATCGCTCACGTTTTTGTGGAACATTAGTCTCTGATACTCAAACTGTCAATTGTTAAACTATTTCATTAAAATTTGTATTTTACTTATGAATCATGTTGCGTATAATTTATGAAAGCAATGAATATAAATATCTATTATCGAACGTTCACGTGTATAATGTACATTGAGGCGGTTCGCTATGCCATTATTTATTTAACGCGCACACACTTGTGGTGCCTGCCACCAAATAAAATTATATGAAGATTTTACACGCACATTATTTACATTTCTACATAAATGTGTATGTACCGTGCGTTACCGGAATTCGCTACCGTCTGTGCACTTCATAAGTAAATATAACTATTATTCATATTTCTATTTTATTTTCCGTATAACCAATATTTACTTTTTTTTCGCTGCTTTGCTTTTGATATATAGCAACATATTGTACATAAATACACATGTACGTAAATATATGTGATGTGTACCCAATGATAATGAAAATTTAAATGAAAAATGCAAATTTGCAAAAACAAAATTATTGATTCAGCATTCGTTTAGCGAACTTCGCTAGAAATGCGACAATCGTAAGCTTAAACATTTTATTCATTTATCATATACCATATATGCCTTTAACTAGGTGTGTGTATTCCTTTGTCGGAATTTTTATTGAGCGGGTATCCGTTTTTTGCAGACCGACCGGTAATGAAAGATAAGCAATAAATTATGTGTATATAACTTTAATTTTTATTTTTATTCGGTTTATTTAGTCCTTTCTCACTTTGACTAATAATCTTATTAAACTAGTATTATGAAGGAGATTTTTCATGGATTATAAATTATTATATTATACCAATTGCTTAAAAATTGTATAAACCGTCATGAAGTGAATTGTCATTTCAACATTCTTTCAAGCAATCAATAATTTCAGTCTTTGCTGCTTGTTTATATTTTTTCCGTTTTTTTTTTTTTTGACGTTTTTAATTTGCACGATTTTACTCTTTGACAACATAATTTCGCTTAGTCATTTTGTAGTAAAATCGTCATTGTATATCATTAAGCTAAATTATATGTTGGTATGAGTATGTGGATAATTACATTAGTACTGCAATGTATATTTGTCTGCATTAGATATAATAAAAGTTTTGATAATTATTAGCGGTCGTGAAAATTTCATTCACAAATATTTTAAATTAAATTGTCATGTATAATATTGAGTTGCAACTCATTTGCGGTATATGATTTCATTCAGTATTTTATAAATGCAAATAAAACAAGAAAAAACTTCGACTGTACTCAAGCTGTAATACCCTTCACAGGCGTGACAAATGAGAGGCTTCATAGAAAGTAAAAGACATTGGAAAACTTCAGATCTACATATATCTAAAAACTACGGGACTAGGTCGCGTAAATCCGGATTAACTCAGGAGTTAGTGAAGATAACTACGTTGCCAACTCTCATTTAATCATTAAAATTTTAGAGAGTTAGCTGCATTTTCGCTGGCACAACGTGAATGAAAAACAAGCAACACTGGCAGCTGTTATGATGCAGTTTTAAAAATAACGCGTTGATATGTTTTGTAATAAAAAATAGTTTTCTAGAAATTGGCCGGCTAACAAACGCAATATTATAAAAATGATGATCAGCTGTTCACAAGAGCTTCAAACTCGCATAACTGCCGTCTGTCACCTACAAATTTGGATCTGATTAAGTGCGCAGTTAATCCGGATTAACGCTGCCGTCTGTCTGCGGTGCCTACGTCATTAAATAATATATCCTGTTACAGGCATAAATATTAAAAAATAATGATGGATAATTTCTATTTTATTTTATGGATACATTTGATAAGGCGAAAATACTTATCTCATTTAGTATAGAGCTCAAAGCGATTCAAGTCTTTGCATTTGTGCTGATTAAAAATATTGTTTGTAAAGTGGCTTGAAGGCGGATTTCCACCCGGAAACAGACGTTCATAAAATAAACCGATTAAAGGATAAGATATATGATACAATGTTTTGCAAATAATATAAAGCACAAGAATTTATTGATATTAGTGAATTTGCTTGCGCCTGCTACTTATCACTCATTTTTTTATACTCTCTGAACTGATTGCGCGTTGTGAAAACAGCTGTGACAACAATTCTGCTTTGCTTTCAAATATAATATAATATACATATATTTACATTATATATGTATGCAATATACATATATATATGTGTGTATATATATTTATATACATAGATTTTCCTAAGTTCCTAAGTTCCTATCAACGTATGCATACAACATTCCTTTGGTGGCATTCACTAATCGCAGTCTAAATGATAAGATTACTCTTGCACTCACACTAAGCACATACTTAGCATATCTTTTCTATTTTATTTTGCTCGTTTCCCTTGTATTTGTAGTTCATTCATTTGTTGATTTGCTATTTGCACTTCATTTCCGCTTAGTTGCTATTTTTTTCATTCACTATCCTAGACGTGGTTGCTGCAGTTTTTGTTTTTCTTATCTACTACCCGGCTTTACGATGCTTTAGGCGATTCCATATCATAAGTATTCGCTCGTCCCACAAACGAATGAACGAATGCTCGCATATTTGTGTTTATACATACAAATCTATACATATGTATGTATGTATATGTATGCATGTGTATACTGTTACGTTATTGACTGTTTTCGTAATAGCTCTTGTTGATATTCTGGCAATTTTCTTGAATGGCGGGCGACAGGGCTCTCAACTCTCCCCACACTCTTAGCGCTTTTTGCGCGAGTGGAATGTCACGTCAAAATAAAGTAATTGCCTCTGTTAACGCAACACCTACAAATGTCTGTACGTACCTCCGTTCAATGGGTGAAGTTCACTTCATTCATGTATACTGCTTATTCTTATCAATGAGTTTTGTTGGCAGCGTTTGCCAAACTTTCTGTTCTGAAAATGTTTTTAAATGAAAAGCGTTGGAAAATTTAAAAAATATGTTTATTTAAATAATTTTTAGATTATATTATATAAAGCAAAATTCTCTAAGTATTTTCTTTAAAATAAAAAAAAACTCCATAAATGCATATAGCATGTATGTAAGTTTTAATGAAAGGAAGTGCGAAATGTCATAGTGTGATCATGCAAAGAACACTTCAGAATGGTAGTCAGCAGATGTGGTTCCCTTTCACTGCGTCGTCTCCGTCGTAAAATTAATGACACTTCCGCTCAGGTATTACGTTGAACGCCACGCGCTGTTAAATCAACCACACATACATACATATGTATGTATGTTATGCACATATAACAAATATAAGTATACCTCCATACTGGATACATATGCTTATGTGCCACAGCTCGGTTGTTCTTCGACCTTTACTACGATATTCACTTTGTATGCACACATGTTTGTATGTAAGTATGTACATACATATGTTGTATTTCGCAAATTCTTATACGCTGCGGTTGTACTCATTCCCTTTTGCCATGTCGTCCGATGAATGACTTTGACTTTCCGCTGAAACAACATCGGCACAATGCCTTTATATGCGTGTAATGTGCCAATACCGGCATCTCCATCGTCAACGTCATGAATGGCAGGAAGTCACGTTTTCGCTTCCTCTGCTTGCGGCATTTTCATATGTTTTTCTTTCAGTAGGTTTATTTTTTCAACATTCGGTTGCCTTGTCACATTGATATTTCATAAACTATATACACATACATATAATACATATAGTATATCGGTATGCGTGCTCGATATGTATCTACCATAATGTGCTTACGTATTGCCTTTGAGGGTTGACCCGGCAATAACTTGCGCCTTTGCCGCCATCACTACTTTTGGGCACTTGGCCAAAAAGTTAGGCATGCCACTACCATTTTCATTCATTCATTGATTTCTCTACAAGTTCGTGTTTAATATTTATTAAACATTTAATGTGTTATACGCTTGGCAGCCAGGCAGGCACGTCAAGGTCGTAAGGCGTGGTGGAATTCGATTTCATTGGCCATTGATGGCATAGCCTAGCGTGTGTGAGTAAGTGGCTAGATTCTAGTAAATACACTGCTTTGTGTGTACTAATTCAGGGGCGCGTTGTTAGTACATGCATGTTTGTGTACATTTTGCTTGAAAATTTTTCGAAATCGCTTTGCTAAAAAGAAAAGCTAACATGTGACGTGCATAATATGAACAACGAAACAATTTCGTATTCATATGTATTATATATTTATGGTTAAGTTATTATAAAAGAAATTTTTAAATACAACATACATATCGATTGGATCTTCTACAAAACTTGATTCTTCATTTTCCGTTTTCTTTGAATGATAAACGGATCATCTACACATTTTAATGGGTTTGAAATCGAAAGTGGGGAGAAAACAACAATCGATTTGTACTTTTATATTTAAAATATAACATCACATCTCTGGTACAATATCAAATACTAAATAATATATGTATATATTTATTTCATCTTTGCAGGAGAAGCTAAGAACCTGAGCAGTCGCAATGCGGCGAACACCAGTTGCAGCACACAAGGCGTACGCGATGTATACTGCACAATCGCACTTGATCAGGAAGAAATCTGTCGCACGCCTACCATCGAACGCACATTGGCGCCGTTTTTCGGCGAGGAGTATCAGTTCAAAATACCACGACGCTTCCGTTATCTCTCCATATATGTGTGGGATCGTGATCGACATATGAAACAAGACAAAGCAATTGGCAAAATAGCGATTAAACGCGAAGAACTGCATATGTACAATCACAAGGATAATTGGTTTGCATTGCGACCGGTTGATTCGGATTCCGAGGTGCAGGGTATGGCTCACATTGAGGTGCAATATGAAGAGGTGCAACCGCCAGTTGCTCATGTACTAAACCTAATACGACCCAGCGAATATGATCGCAGTGACATCATCGAAGATATTAGCCATCATCATCACCAGCATCAAGCGCATCTGAATGATTACAAAGAGAATAGTGAACTGAGTAATATACAACGTGGTTCCCTAAAATCACGTGGCCTATTCGGCACGCATAACGAGCACACCACGAATTGGAAGAATGTGATGGCAATACGACATGCACGTGTTGCGGTCCGTTGTTTGGAATGTGTTGATTTGGCTAAAAAGAATGGCACTTGTGATCCGTATGTTATATTTACAGCGACTTATACGAATAAACGACAAGTGACGAGACGCACAAAAGTGCGTGAGAAAACCGTTAATCCGGAATTCGATGAGACGGTGTACTTTGATCTCTGTATAGATGCTGATAATTCGACAACCAAGTCGATTTCCTCACATCATGATGCCAGTACAACGAACTCCAATAAGGGTTATACAATTTATCCGCTCAGCGGTGCTGATCTCTGTGAGATTTCCGTTGCTTTGTGGCACAATTCTGCGGGCATGGCCGATAAAGTGTTCCTCGGTGAAGTGAAAATCCCCATTTCAAGTAAGCAACAACAAATCGTCGCCCAACAATCAGCGTGGTATTTTTTACAACCACGTTCAGCCAGTGCAACGAATCGTTCGTTATCGTCCACGCCGCGTTCATGCGCTACCCCACCTGGTACACGACTCAGTTGCGACAGCACGATCGGTACGTTACGCCTCAAATTACTTTATACTGCTGATCATGTCTTCCCGCTGGCAACCTATGATGACCTAATGAACCTGCTGTTGGAGTCGGTCGACCAACGACCTATCACTGTGTCCGCCGTCTCCATACTAGGTGAACTAGTGTCGTGTAAGACGGATATGGCGCAACCATTGGTGCGACTCTTCACACACACCGGTCGCATTGCATCGATTATCAAAGCTTTGGCTGACTATGAAATTTCTAATCTAACTGATCCTACGACGATTTTTCGCGGTAATACGCTTGTTTCGAAGATGATGGACGAAGCTATGCGACTATCTGGCCTGCCTTATTTACATCAGACGCTGCGTCCGGTGCTCGCTCAAATACTGGCAGAGAAGAAACCCTGCGAAATAGATCCATCCAAAGTTAAGGATCGTTCAGCAGTCGATACAAATTTAAATCACCTGCAAGTTTATGTTGAACGTGTATTCGATGCAATTACGAAAAGTGCGGAGCGCTGTCCGAAGGTGCTCTGTCAGATATTTCACGATCTGCGCGAATGTGCTGGCCGACATTTTCCACGGAATCATGAAGTGCGATACTCAGTAGTATCCGGTTTCATATTTTTACGTTTCTTTGCACCAGCCATACTGGGTCCAAAGTTGTTCGATTTAACGTCCGAACCACTTGTGAGTACTTATTATAAATTAGCATTTAGCTTATTATTTATTCGTGTATTGTTTATTCTCTTTTTCGTATAGGATCACCAAACGAATCGTACGTTAACACTCATTTCGAAAACGATACAATCACTTGGGAATTTGGTGAGCTCACGTTCTTCACAGCAGCCAAACAAAGAAGAGTACACCGGTCAGCTGTATAAGCGTTTTTACACGGAGAAGCATGTGACGGCAGTTAAGCACTTCTTGGAGGTGATTTCCACACCAGGCGAGGATTGTCGACTGCAAGGAGATGCAGCCAATATATTGTTGCCAGTTGTGTGCCCTGCAGATGGTACACTCGAACCAGTATTACTTAAAGAGGGGTAAGTTTCATATTTTTTGAAAAACAATAAATTAATTTAAAGCTTATGGTCTACTGCTGACATTTACTAATATATACATATATACGGTTTCGCTTTGTTCTTTTATCTTCGGGCAAATATAAACACATTTGCACTACCACCACCATTTCAACGCAACCAACGCTAAATCCTTGTTAACATCTAATAAAAATTCATGTGAAATGCATTTCCAACGTAACTAATAAAATTTATTAACATAGCGATGGGTAAGGATTAATCAAAATACTTGCACGAATCATTAGAGTTCTTCCGTAGTTTTTTGTTTCGCATTTTTGTAAACTATAACCATTTTAATTTCGTTTTTCTAAAGCTAATATAGTCATTTTTTCTTTTTATATTTTGCATTCGATTTCTCTACTTAAATAATTTAATTTTGAGCAGTAAATTAAAAAAAATTATAAAAAAAAATCTTTAAAATAATATAATTAAAATATTTGTTCAATAATTATTGAACTATATTACAGCTTAATGAGTTTACCCTTGATTCTTGAACATTTTTAAGTTTAATTTTATATTTTCAAGACGGGGACGTCACCTTTTATAATTTTTTCTGGCATTATCCGTTTTTACCAATTCATATTAATTGTGCAGTTGGCTTTTATAGGCATACAAATATTTTTTTAATTTAAAATATGAGTTTGTTTTAATAAATATTTGAGCCTAGTACTTTCTTTGGCCACTTTTCATTATCTCGGCTTTTTTTTTTTTTTTTTTTTTTTTTTTTTTTTTTTTTTTTTTTTTTTTTGTTAGATTATATCTAATTTTCTTTTTGCGTTTTTACTCGTATATATCTATCTATATAATACACCGCACGTGTGTTTGTATATACGCACCTAAATGCAAATTTTATCACTAACATTATGTTCACGTACACTTTTGCACATGCAGGATGATGACGAAATATCCACAGGGCCGTAAACGTTTCGGTCGTAGGCGTTTCAAGCAGCGTTACTTTCGTCTAACCACAAAAACCCTCAGCTATGCCAAATCAAAGGGCAAACAACCCATCTGTGATATACCATTGTCGGAGATTGAGCGCGTCGAGCAGCTGAATGAGAAGAGTTTTAAAATGCAAAACTGTTTTAAGGTGAGTAACACACTACATACATTTATATGTATTAATGGATATATGTAGATTCATACTTGCGTAACAAAAAGCACAATAAATTAATAAACAACACTAGAATAACAGTGGGCACATAACAAGCCGATTTTGAATACACCGAATTGAAAACACATAATGCCCACATATTATTGATGTCACATATATGTGGACATGCTGCTATGCTGTAATTACGAGTAATTGCAAAACCATTTATAGTTCACAATGTCACAACGCCATTGCTGTTCGGCTTCGATATTTGCCAGTTAGTATTGTCAACGCCAACTTATTGCATTTCGCAAATTCCAAGTCACACTCGAAAGTGTCTTGTGCAAAACTACTTCAGTGTTAAATTTTTTGCTCAATTGTGGGCGCCATATCGACACTTTTATATATTATACATATATATGTTTGCTAGTTGTATTGTTTGGCCCAACATTGGCGGCTGACTTCTTTTACAATTAATAGGCGGTATTGCCTATTTTGCCGTTAATTGGCATTTCGTATTATGGTATGTATTAAATATTTAAGAAATATGAGGCAACGTTTAGCTTGTGGAACTTAATGGGTGTGACTTGTCTCCATCATGTGATAAAATAAATGAAATAAATCACTAATATAGTATATAAAAAAATACTAGGTGCAGATTTGCATGTATAGTACATTCCTGCAAAAAGAGGTAACAAATGAAAACCCACAGACCAAAAATTTTCTTCGATATTTGCATTTGAATAGGAATAGTGTGGAAGTGGTTCGCACCGTGCACAATACAATTGCTACTTTAGAAATCTAAAATGCGCGGAAATCAAAATTTCCCTTTTCCTTTTTCATAAGGTTTATAATAAATACGCTTTACACTTTCTGCATATTTATAGAGCTATGGAAATGTATAATTATACAGCAATGCGTACGCTGCAATAAAAATAAAAATTTCCACGCAAAATCGTTTGCACAAACTCGCATTTTCTTTAAATACCCACGATTTCACCTATTTTTAACGCTCGATCACTGCCGCCCCGCCCCATCCATTCATTTAGCAAGTTTTTACTTTTCTTCGAATGAAATGAAGATTTACATAAATTCTTTGCTGTAATTAAAAATTTGCATTGTTTCGCGTGTTTCCCACACATTTGTTATCTTTCTTGTGTGGCAAGCGCACATAATTTCTGTGCCGTTTAAACATAATATAGATATACGTACAAATAAACGTATGTACATGCATACATGAACATCAATATAAAGTACAAATAAAAGAAAAATATATATATATTATGTACATAATTGCAACACCCACAGTAAAGTAGCGCGCCACTTCAACACACACAAACACACCTATGGACACCTAGGCATACTAAATATATATGACGGTAAATGTTATCTATTTCAATTTGGTCTTCTGCAAGACACTATGCCAGAAGACTACGCCGGCACACTGAAGACGCTATATTCATAGTGAAATCATCGCTTGGCAACGGGCGTTAGTTTTGAAGGCGAATTATGTTGCACATTGTGTTAATCAGTAGTGTGTAAAGTATACTATATGTACATATATATGGACAATGCACTTTAAAACATATCTTGGTACTCTTCGATAGAATTGTTTTTGCAATAGTTATTGCAACAATAAAAAAGCGCTACATAATGAGCATCGCGTTTCACACGAAACAAATTCAGTAGTGTTTTTTACAGTTTACAATGCTATTGTTGTAAAGATTGTAAAAAATGTATGTAAAAATAGTACGCTCAAGTTGTTTGCTGGTGCATACGATATTTATATGCCATCTCGTGTGTTTTCCCCCCAATGCCCCTAGACGTTATCATATATATATTTCCATACTCGCCACACGTTGGCTTCCGCGCCATTAACACTTTCCCTATACAACTTTCGTTTAATAATTTTATATAGACTAAAGGTATAAAACAAAAGAAATTTTTTAGAAAATGTATTTTGTTTGTTACAGATAGTTTTTTGTCCTTCCAACAAAAAAAGTCAAATTATTTTAAAATATCTCCACATACATACATATGTATAACAATTATCAAATATATATAATTTTTATGTTATATATGGTATGTTCTACTATACCCAAAGGTATCAAAGGTAAATATTTATCTCTTATACACATCTAGATGTGTATAAGAGACAGCATACATACATATGTATAACAATTATCAAATATATATAATTTTTATGTTATATATGGTATGTTCTACTATACCCAAAGGTATCAAAGGTAAATATTTAGATTAGATTAGATAAGTAAATGAGGATTTCACCGCGACGTAAGGTTTATTGTGCCTTCTCCAAAATCACAACTATTTACCTTGCCATAGCAAATTCATAAATTCCAAAATACTTCTAGATGCTATTGAGGCGGAGCAGCTCATTTATGGTGTGGGCGCCAATCGCAATAAAAGACTTAGGTCCTACCATGTTTGTGGGTGCTGCGGAGCGGGCAAGCTCATTAGCCAATTCATTCCGGATGAAATATTTTGCGTTGCAAAATTCTCTCAACTCAAAGTTTCGTTTTAAGATTTATATTAATACTATTTGAAATAAAAATAATAATAAAACTCTAATTAATAGAATTGGATTAACCAGCAATAAACACACAATTATAGTTTGTCAACAGCTTTTGTCGTACCCACGGTTGCAATTAAGCGTATTTCATGCAAATGCTCAGACTTTTGCAACGTGTAAATTATAGCACTACAGAAATTAACCGTTTTATCTTGGTGCAATATACTTGTACCATTGTCCCAGTGTGCCGATTCACAACAATTTGTGTGCATATTATTAGCTTTTGTTAAAATTGTTGCCACGTCTAGTTGTAAAATAATTAACTAATGGTGTCTGAACATCCTAAAGCATTACTTGTGTGTATTATAATTATTTTTGCGTAAGGAGCTCTCCGATACTTTTTCTTATGGGTAGCGGAAACTTTACAAATATGTGTACAAAAAATATTGAAATATGTAATTTTTTAATTTATGGATCAATTTTTATGTATTGAAACCAATCAATTATTATAATTTTTATTAAACTCAAGTAATATATTAAAATTTTCCCTTGCAGATCATACGTAAAGAGCGTTCGCTTATTATCCAGGCAACGAATTGTGTGGAGGAGCGTGAATGGGTCGATTTGTTGCACAAGATCTGCCTTACCAATTCCATCCGCATGCAGTATTTCCATCCGTCCGCCTTTGTGAACGGCATCTACAGTTGTTGTTCGCGTTCGGACGAGAACGCGCCTGGCTGTCGCACAGTCTCCGCTGAAGCGATCAATTACTTTCAAATGGATCTTGTCACCTCACTCGATCCTGCGCTTGATCTACAACGCATACACACTTTAATTATGTCACATATGACACAATTAGTGGCACCGCTTGATCCGATTGCCTTTCATCATTTGCAGCAGGGCCACAATCCACTTGCGCCTACCGCTTTGGCGTTGCAACAACAATCGCCAGCCGCCTATGTGGAATTTAAAAATACAATCGAACAACTGCGCAAAGTGGCATACGCCATCGATCGCGATCATCGCAACTACAAAGCTGGCATAGCGCGTGAGCTGAAGTACGGTAGTCGACAGGCGCCGATTGGTGATGACAACTATTTGCATATGATGCATGCGGCCGGTCACTTCAATTTACAACAACATCAGCAGCAGCATCAACAACAACAACAACATCACCAGCACCAACAACAAGTCGTATTACACACACAGCAGCCAGAGCAGCAGCAGCAGCAACCGCAAGTTTTGCCACAAATGCAACACGTGCGCGCATATCCGTACCAGCTAAAATAGCTGATGCAATGGAAAATTTGGCGCGTGGCACCAACTTTTCAGTGTTAGTAAGTAGGAGTATGTAGTTTTAATATACCTATGAGTAGTAGAAGATAGACAAGAAGCGCTTCGCTTGGGACGTTATGTACCTAAACACTTGAAAAGCAATAGGTACTTACTTACCAAACAAATATATTTATGTGAAATGGTAGCTATAAGTGGGCATGACGCTCATTTCTTTATTTCTTTTTTTACCTATGAAACTCATTTCGTAATGCGTCTGATAATCGTTATAGTGTGCTGATTTGGACAGAAGCCCACAAAGGTGTGCTGTTGCAAGTTATACCGTATAACTTAACCACTTCCCAGAAATGTAACATAAATATCAAGCAACCAATACTACAAGCAAAAGTTCAAATTCTGTATAAAAAATTATGTTCTAAATATTTTTATTATATACATATATATACATATTTACGTAAATCTATTTAACAAATACTTACTTTGTACGAATTATTATTAATATACTAAAATATTCGCATTCGTATACGCATGCGTATGTACGTGTGAGACTATTTATTTTATACAACGCTATTATATAAATATATACCTACTTATTATAATATAATTGTATACAAATTTTAAGTGAAATTAGGCAAGATAATGGTACTGCGAGCGTTAGTTCTAAATTAAACGCTTTGTAGTCTGTTTGTAGATATACTTATATATATAGAAATGCATAAGCCTGTACTACTTATACGAGTACATAGTATATAACTAGATTTATTTATAAACTTAAATTAGAAACTCTGGCTTAACATACACTTTGCACCTCAATTCACAGAGGTCAGCAGTGCTTAGTTGAAACGGATAAGAAATGAACTCCAATTTAGTGCATTATTTGCAATGCTCCAAGCTAAAAAAAAAAATAAAATTTGTTCTGAAAAAAGGCTTTTGTATAATAACTATTGAATTAGCAGAAAGCGTTAACTGTAATGTAACTATTAGTAATTGAAATTATACAAGTCCTTTATACATGCGTGTAGGGAAATTGTATAACAGACCAGAATTAATTAGTTATAAACTAACTTCATGAAGAAAGAACAGCACTAAACACTCCAACAACTCAACACATAAGATTCTGCAAATAAGCTTTACTTTTCAGTGTCTATTTTCAAAAAAAAAAAAAGAAAAAAAAAAAGAGGATAAATGTTGAAAGAGTTTTTATACAACTCTGTTAAACTATAGAATATGAATTATAAAGAATGTATTGTAAATTAATTGTAAAATAATTATTGAAAATATTTGTTGGAAATAACGTTTCTAAATTATTACCTCTTTCATTATTTAATGTTACTTGTTTAAATTATGAAAATATCTACAGTATATGTTAATACCATGAATTGTCATAATTGTTATTGGCAAGCATAAACTTTTCCATTATATATTGTTTATACATACATATATTTTATACAGAGGCATTTAGTTATATGTTTAAAGACTGAATGGTTGCAAGCGTCAATGCACATTATAAAAAATAAATAAAAAAATGTTAATGCTTATTTGCAGAAAGTGAAGTGAAATGTATGTGAAATAGCAACAGGTTTCTCCACCTTTTTCGCACATTTCATATTACACTTATTTTTTAATACTAATCATATATCCAAACAAACTCATTTCGTTTGCATACATACTTTGAGCGAGAAAAATGAACATATGTACATATAACATACTAATTTGTCGCTTACTTGAATTTAAAATTAAAGTACAGTTAACTTGTTGCTGTTCATTGTACTTCTAATGAAAAAGAATACGTAGCTTCTCGTAAGTTTTCTTCACTTTGTTAAGGTCCTTTAAAAAACACTGTCTTCCCATTTGTGTCTTCGCATTGTAATTTTTTAATTTTCCGTACAACGATTTTCTTTTGTGCTTTTAACGTTTTCATTCGTACTAAAGCATTCCATTCATGCTGCATACTTCCGTTTTCGTTGAATACAAACTTACATAGTTGAAGAGTTACACATATACATATATATATTTAATTTAATTCAGTTGTAAATTTTGATTTCGCTTAATTATTTTTAAGATTGTATATACATTAATGCGAAACCTACAAAGTAAACATCATCAATGTCGCATTTATTATTAACATGGACAACGATTACATACACACATAAACATACATGCATACGAATACTGCATAATTAATATAAGAAAAGCGCGCCATAAATTAGCGTTTATAACATATAATTGTATTTAAATGAATACTTAAGCATTTCTCGATTAATCATTTGTTCGTTTCATAAACAACTTTAACATTAAGTTACTCGTTTATTATTTAATTATTTGAATTAGTTAATTTTTGTCTACTTACTTTCAGTTCATGTAAATTATTACCGAATTAGCAAGTTTTGCTCTTTTACTATTACAATTATAATTATAATTAAATATTCATTATTATTATTATTATTATTATTAATTATTGAAGCAACGTTTTGTATTAATTTAAAATATGTTTAAGTTTGTAATCGGTACAAAATTTTTTTTTTATTAAAGAAACTTCCAACTTGGCATTTATGACTAGTAAGAACGAAAACACGTTGTTTTATTTTCAACATAAATCATTACTAAGCCTATTAAAGTGCATTTGGCTTACATCCCCAGGCCTTACTTTATATATAAATTACTTATTTTGAGAAAAGAGCTGTTTTACTCAATTTTTTATGTAAACGACTCATTGTGATTCCATCTTATTGAAAAATTACGCCAATTATAAAAGGTTGTGTTATTTGGGAGCGTGCTTCTTGTAAACAAATTTTTGTGTTCTTTTCATTAATTGTATACGTATTCATGATTTTGGGTGTTTTACAATCTATTCGTATTAGTAACTCAAAAGCACACATTTTTATTGGCTGGCAAGTTTGAAAAATGTATTTTTGAATCACACCTAACAGCAACCTTATATAATTCATGAATACACTAAACATTTCGTAAAATGTAAATTAAAACACCCTATACCTACATATATAGTATAAACATATTAAAAAGCAATTTCTGTGTGGTAATCGTTATAGAGAATTAGAAAAAGTCTACATGGGCTCTAATAGTTTTTACATGTAAGCCTCCCTTTACAAAAGAAAAAATTAGTGAAAATTTGCAAAACAATCGATACAAAATGCAAACTATTTCTAAAAATAGCTGCAAAAAATTAGATTTATTGATGAAAATAAATGCATAAAATGTGTCTGAATTGTTTATTATTATTATTATTTTTTTTTTTTTGCTAAAACGTTCGAAGGTGAGTTACAGTTTTAATACTTTCGGTGTTAATAAGAGAAAGAATTCATCACAGCAGCGCAGTGAAAAAAATATACTTTCTCAAATGGAACGAGATTACAAAGATTACCAACCGTTTGCTACCAAGCGACTTAAATGCGCACCATGATTTTTGGCACTCTATGAATGCCCAGAATTATGGACACTTATATCAAATCGATATTAACATTGGTAGTGGTGGTCTAAGAAATTGTATAATATAGCGACATATGCTAAATCATCATATATTTAAAATACATATGGTAATTCATCAGAGATTTTATTTTCGTGAAACCTTACTCTAGGTCGATCTCTGAAATCCGCGCGATAGATATCTCAGTTTGGAGATTCGACAACTGATAGAACAGCATTGAAAAAATTATTAAATTGTTGCCTTAAAAAATAATCTGCACCAAATTTCGTAAATATATCTTGTTAAATGTGAAAGTTTTCCATACAAGAACTTGATTCCGATCGCTCAGTTTGTATGGTAGCTTTATGCTATAGTTAACCGATCTGAACAATTTCTTCGGAGATTACATTGTTGCCTTAAAAAATAATCTGCACCAAATTTCGTAAATATATCTTATTAAATGTGAAAAAACAAGAACTTGATTCCGATCGTTCTGTTTGTATGGCAGATATATGTATGCTAAAGTTAACCGATCTGAACAATTTCTTCGGACATTACATTGTTGGCTGAGAAAATAATCTATACCAAATTTCGTGAAGATACATTGTCAAATGTATAAGTTTTCCATACAAGAAGTTGATTCCGATTGTTCAGTTTGTATGGCAGCTATATGTTATAGTGGTCCGATATCGGCAGTTCCGACAAATGAGCAGCTTCTTGAAGAGAAAATGACGTTTGCAAAATTTCAAAACGATATCTTAAAAACTGAGGGACTAGTTCGTATTTATACAGACAGACGGGCATACAGACAGACATGTCTAAATCGACTCAGCTCAACATACTGATCATTTATATATGTATATACTTTATATGGTCTCCGACGCTTCCTTCTGGGTGTTACAAGCTTCGTGACAAACTTAATATACCCTGTTCAGGGTATAAAAAAGCGTTTGGTTCATTAATTATGTGGTATTGGTTCATACTGATCTATTTTCGCCCTAACCTTCAATAATAATAAAAATAACAGTCGTTTCCTTCTCCACTTGGTTCTTTTAACGGAGTGGAGGTCTTCCTCTTCCTCTGCTTCCCCCCGCGGGTACAGCGTCGAATACTTTCAGAGCTGGAGTGTTTTCTTCCATTTGGACAACATGACCTAGCCAGCGTATCCGTTGTATTTTAATTCGCTGAACTATGTCAATGTTGTCATATATCTCATACAGCTCATCGTTCCATCGAATGCGATATTCGCCGTGGCCAACGCGCAAAGGACCATAAATCTTTCGCAGAACTTTTCTCTCGACAACTCGCAACGTCGACTCTACAGTTGTTGTCATCGTCCAAGCCTCTCCACCATTCCGCAGGTCGGGAATTATGAGTGACAAGCATTACCCCTGTCGGCCAGCTTATCAAGCTCTTCGTACTCACGCATTTCGGCCTCTTTCTTTTTCTGTCTGCAAATGCGTCTCGCTTCCCTCTTCAACTCTCGGTATCTATCCCATCCCGCACGTGTTGTGATCGATCGTAACGTTGCGAGGTAGGCAGCCTGTTTTCTCTCCGCTGTGACACAGTACTCCTCGTCGTACCAGCTGTTCTTAGGAGTTTGAATTGCCGTCCCACAGTTCCGAGTTGTTGACGAGTGCTCTCAAGGAGCAGGAGTGCAAGCCGAGTAGCAAACACCTCATTTTCAGCAAGAATAAAATCATTGGACCTTCTGGAGCAACTCTACTAACAAAATATTTCAAAAATATTTCAAACGGAACGAACTTTATAACAAATTTGGTTCAGCGATATGCTGAGCTTAAAGCTGTTTAAATATACCAGTAAACGTCAAACGCCCAGCTTTTGTCAAAGAAAATTGTTTTGACTTTTGCTTTTGACAAAACAAAAGAAAACTGCCAGACATATTCAGTTCGCTCGTCGATTCTTATCATATTTTCTCTGAAAATGATTGTGTAAATCGGACAAAATATGGCTTGAAATTATTTATAAAAAAGAAACATTATTAGTGTCTTATGCTGTAGAGCTGTTTAATTATTATTTCAGAAACAGCAGTGGCGGAAAAGTGAGCAAAAAAAATTTACAAAAACTAAAAACAATATCAACAATCCGCCCCCACTAAAAGTAAATGAGTGACTTGTACACAAAAAGTAGGCAAAGGCATATTCATCGGTGCCATAGATTTGTTCTAACAATTGAGCCTGCCATTGCGTTGCACCGTAATACCCATTTTCGCATGCTCTGCTGTGATAATGGAAATGTGAAAAGCTAATTGAATCAGTATCTGAAAATAATAGCATTTGCAATACACACTCACATATACAGTTGCAAACCAAAGTGCAGCGCTCTATAGTGCCAGTGACCTGGAAAACGTAACAACATAAACTTGACAATCGCATAAATATGGAGTTTGCCGATCTCATAAAAACGCCAAAGCTGGACGGAGTATTCTTACACGACCACCTGCATACAACAGTTGAGGGAACGCTCTGTATCACCGGTCATCATCTGTTGTTGAGCGCCAGACAGGAGAATAGCCAAGAGCTATGGGTAAGTGAATGGTCAATATTTTTATATAGACACACAAGACCATTGAACAGGCATTGACGTGGAAACATGATGGGAGCGTGTCAATTTGTTGCTATGTCTCTTAACACCATTTCCTTCTTGTACCTAACATATTTAATTAGTTCAGTCAGGCGTATTGCTAGCTTTAAAATTAGCATTTACCATGTCAACATATTTGACTGAGCAAAGCAAACTTGCTTACATACTGTCTGTATATTATATATATATTTATATTAATTCCTTTTTTTCATTCACAGTTACTGCACAAGAATATCGACTGTGTGGAGAAAAAACCATTTATGGTGCAAAACATGGTGATGGGCGGCCTCATAACACTGAAGTGCAAGGATTTACGCATCATTTCACTAGAGATTAAATATGCTAAAGAATATTTTAATGTAGCAGCGTCATTGGAGGCACTCAGTTCGTTACACAATCCTGAACTCGAATATCCATTTTTCTATCGACCAATGTATACCATACTTGAGGACGGATTCACTATGTTCCGGTAAATACAAAGCATTAGTATATTTCATGACTTTCTTTTCATATAAGTATATATCATTTGCTTGTAATAGTCCCGAACTAGAATTTGCGAAACTAATTTCCGGTGCTACCTGCAATCTACACAATGGTAATGAAAATTGTGGTGTCGGCGGTGGAGCGGTAACGGGTGCTGTTGCGGGTTGTGAGTGGCGTATCACCACAGTCAATAAGGATTTTAGTGTGTGTCCAACGTATGGCACTGCGCTTATTGTGCCTAAATCAATTACGGACGAACAAATTGTGCAATCGGCTGCATTCAGAGATGGCGGTCGATTTCCGGTGCTCAGCTATCGGCATGAAAATGGGGTGAGTGTATAAAAATCAGAGTAATTATTGATGAGTGTAAACAAGAAGCTCTTCTCATCTCTCAACTTCACAGTTTAACTTCAACGGCAATATGTTATATAAAGTTGCTTATGCACACATAACATTTAGTTAGTTAAAATAATCTGCCTAATATTCCTTAATGAACGCCGATGTACAGTTGTAAAGAAATTCTCCATATGTTTATGTGTTGTAACTTCAAACACATATACCATGTACAATGAACTGACGATTTAATCTACTGTTTTCAAACCGCTAACCGGTAAAAAAAATACTTATTCTTTTACTTTTATTTGTCCGCATTTGTAGGCCACGCTAATGCGCAGCTCACAACCCATCTCCATACAAGGTATTAAACGTTGCCGTGCTGACGAAGCGATACTGAACGTTGTGTTGGGACGCAGTAAAAAGGGGTTTATTGTTGACACTTGGGGAAAGGGTAAATCAAACACCGAAACCGATCAACATTACTCACAGTGGAAGAAAGTGAATCGAGCTATTGGCAATGTGTCGGCGCCTTCAGCAATTTTGGATAGTTACACCAAACTTATTGAAGGTGGGTATTAGGTCATTTTCAAAGCAGCTGCTTGTATTTGGTATTATTTTCTTTATTACAGCATGTAATGATATTACATGTTCCGCAGACAAATGGTTGTCACGCTTGGAAGCAAGCGGCTGGTTAAGTCTCGTACTGAATTCACTGAATGCTGCCTGTGTAGTTGCACAATGCCTCGATCAGGAAGGCAGCCCGGTGCTGGTTCATGGTTCTAAAGGTCTGGATTCCACACTAATTGTAACGTCACTAGTGCAGATAATACTTAATCCTGATTGCCGCACAGTCCGCGGGTAATGCCTGCCATTTTAATATCTAAAATTTTTCTGACACAAACTTCTTTTTAATTAGCATACAAGCGTTAATTGAACGAGAATGGATACAGGCCGGTCATCCTTTTGCATCACGTCATCGCTATGGCTGTTATACGCCCGCACAGAATCGGCCGAAAAACTCGGGTGCCTCCTTTGTGTTATTTCTCGATTGTATATACCAGCTATATACACAATTTCCCTGCAGTTTTGAATTTAGCCTGCAAATGCTAATTTTACTTTATGAGCACAGTTATTTCTCGCAATATGGTACATTTTTGTGTGATTCAGAACGCGAACGTCATGAGTTGGGCGTGCATACGCGCACCACTAGTTTGTGGTCTTACTTAAACCGGCCCGATGTGCTCAAAAATATGCTAAATCCATTGTATGAACCAAATTCAAGTGTAATTTGGCCAAGCGTTGCACCGATCTCATTAGAATTGTGGAGCGGTAATGTTACCAAATGCACTAAAAGTTACTTTAAAATATAAATATAATTTATAAATTCTTTACCACCGGATATTCTAGACCTCTATTTGCGTTGGACAGTCGAACAGAAAAATAGCACCAAAACTATGCAACAAATACAAGAACTGGTCACACAGGAAAAGGAATTACGCGCGAAAGTAAGACCGCAATTACTTTTCGAGTATATTTATAATTCTAAATTCTTACGTATCTACGTTTCGCAGGCAATACGGTTGCGCAAGCAAGCTTCAGATTTGAGCAATGAAATGGAGGATCTTATGATATCCGATTGATCAGCGCAACCGCTGGAAACCAAAAATACTGTAACCGCCACAAAAGCTTTTGGTCATCACCAGTTAACATAGAGCAAGTGAACATTTACAATGCTAAATAAGGAAAGATATACTAGTTTTTGAAATATGCAGTTCAAATTTTTAACTTTGCTCTCTAAGTGTCTCTCTAAAAATATACTATAATAACGCGAATAGTCTTCAGGCACTGCATCGCGTAACAGCGGTGTGTACATTTGAAAATTGAGTCAATTTTTGGCGCATTTTTATTGTAACTTAATATAAGTTAATACTTAAGCTAATACTAAATGAAATCAAAAATTCAATTCCGTTTTGGAGGAATATTGAAAGAGAACAATAAAAGTATATTGGTTTAGCATGAATGTACATACATGTGTACATTTACGAATATATTTAACAAAAGCCAATTTATTTCGAAAATGTTGAAGCAATGTGAAAAAGACAAACGCACTGAACTAATTCAAAACTTTGAAAAGTGGCAGACATACGATTTTTAGTATTTTATTAATATTTATTTAAAATAGTAATCGATAGTGATTCGATAAACGACGAAGTAATAAAAGTAAATAAGATGACATTTGAGATTAATAAATAAAATATTAAGAAAACTAAATTTCTGTGACGCTATTTTAATCTCTTGCATTTAGTCGCTAAAATTCTTACAAATGAGAAAAATTATTTGATACTTTGTTTATCGAATTACTAAAAAATCAAACTCTCTGACGTTTCGTTTATCGAATTACTACAGCGCTTCAATTATAAAAAAAATCAAACTTCATACTTTTTATGATCTTTGAATAAGACCAAGAATCTTAAATGTTTGCCTTCTACTTAATATAAATTTCTGCAAATATCTACAACTATGAAAATGAAGATAGAGCTTTTGTAGCTTTTTGCAATAATTATACGCAAGCGTATTTATGTTTGCTGTGATGGCAGAAAAGCCGGAAAGAGTGTGCGATAGAATATTAATTCAAAAGTATTACAAGCTTGCTTATTCAAGTCTATTATTAGGCGAGATGTTTTATAAGAAAACAAAAATACCACTTAGATAGTCCTGAAGTCTCAATAAAAGTTTTAATGTAATTTAATATCATGTAAACTGGGTTTGTTGTTTTCGAATCAATTTAGTTTTTTTTTTTTGTATTAATAAATAATTACAGGACGTACGTGTATGGGAAGCAATTGTAAAACGCAGCTTCTTAACAAATTCTACGTGGTTTGGAACTCCAAAACAAATTTTCACAAAAAAAAACTTTTTTTTTAAATGGCAACACAATTTCATTTACGCATCTTGTCGGCACTTAGTTCACTCTCGTAAACAATTTATTTTCTATTACAAATTTTTGCTTGATTCTACTATGGCTGAAAAATTGTACAAAATCGTTTTTAAAACAAAATCCTGTAATGCTTTAAGATTATAGTTAACATTACAAAACAAAATTGGGATCAAGCAAAAAAAAAAAAAACATTACAAAAATAAAAATCAGCACTTAATATAAACCAACCTTTGGTTGAGCTAAGTTTTTGGTTTTTTTTGTTTTTTGCTATTTTTTGTAAAGATTACAAAACTTGAAAGTTGATTGCATAAAAATATTTTTGTCTAAATAATATAAGTTTCCGAGTGCAAATGCGACGTACTTCCATTGGATAGTATTCATAAAATATATTCGTTTAATTACCGGCATCATCCTCCAGGAAAAAGAATTGACCGGAACGTTTTTGTTCGGTATCCTGCATGTGAAAATAAAAAATATAGATATCAGTTTATGAATACAAATGCATAAGCTTATGGGAGCATTTGAAAATAATTGGTGTACCTTAACAGAGTTGTTTTTGTTAATGCGTGGCCTGAAGTTGTTGGGATCGCGGCGGAAAGTAATACCTAAGAGTTCCAGGAATCTATTCATGCCATTCAACAAGGATTGCGGTGAGAAAGCAGTGGTTTTCACTGAGGGTTGACCTTCGAGCACAATAACTCGATCCGCCAGATAAGTAGCCATGATGAAATCGTGCTCTACCACGAAGCCCGTGCGTTTCGCATGCAGAATGAATCTATGAAAATATACAATAAAAATTAACAGAAACCAACATAAAAAATAAATATTTTGCTTACCTCTTAATGACTTTAGCCGCTACTAAACGCTGTTCAGAGTCTAGATAGGCGGACGGTTCATCGATCAGATATACATCAGCGGGTTTTCCCAGACACAAAACTAAAGCAACACGTTGCAATTCACCACCAGACAAATTCTGTACTTCTTGGTCCATGATTTCTTCGATTTTCATAGGTTTCATAACATCCGCAATAAATTGAGGATGCACGTAGGCGTCACGTATTTTGTCGTGCAATAAATGACGCACCAAATTTTGGAACTTTGGTGAAATTTTCTGTGGTTTGTACGAAATATTCAAGACTGGCAAATCAACCTCTTCATCGGGTTGTAAATTACCAGCCAACATTCTAATAAATGTGGTCTTGCCGGTACCGTTCTCTCCCAATAGCACAAGAATCTCTGAATCGCTGAAATGACCTTGCTCCACGGTCAGTTCAAAATTACCCAATGTCTTCTTCATTGCGGGGTATACATAGTGGTTCATACGTTTAATTTCCTCCTCCGTAGCCGATTCAGATACCTAAAATTTAACATGTATTCTTAATTTTATTTATTATTACGACAAATTAAAGCCCGCTACCTTAAAAGTTAGTGATTCAGTACGGAAACGCATATTCTCGGTGGGCACAAATCCGTCCAGGAAAATGTTAATGCCTTCACGCACGGAGAAAGGCATAGTAACCACACCATAAACACCGGGTACACCATAAAGACAGCAAATGAAATCAGAGAGGTAATCCAGGACTGACAAATCGTGCTCCACCACAATAATGAACCTGAAAAGTATTTTACATTATTATAAACAATTAAAGCACTTATAAATGTGTTCTTATACTTGGTTGGGTGCAATAAATGTCTGATTGTTAAAGCAGCGTTTAAGCGTTGTTTGACATCCAAATAAGATGACGGTTCATCAAACATGAAAATATCGCCATCCTGGATGCAAACCATGGCAATGGCAAAGCGTTGCAGTTCTCCTCCCGATAACTGTGCTATATCACGGTCTCGTATATGCAGCAAATCCAGCATTTCACAAATTTCGTGCTGATTTTTGCGCTCATCTTTTTTATCGAGTAATTCCGCGACTGCACCACGAACCGCTTTAGGTATCTGATCGACATACTGCGGTTTCACCAGCGCTTTTAAATTGTCTTCTAATATTTTAGTGAAATAATTCTGCAATTCTGAACCACGGAAATACGCCAGAATTTCAGTCCAGTCTGGTGGATCAGCGTATTTTCCCAGGTTAGGTTTTTGTTTGCCAGCGAGTATCTTTAAAGCAGTCGATTTACCAATACCGTTTTGACCAACCAATCCGAGCACTTCACCAGGCCGTGGAATTGGCAGACGATGGAGTTTGAAGGAATTCTTGCCGTAACGATGAGTTGTATGCTTCTCCAAATTGCTGGGTATATTAATGATAGTTATGGCCTCAAATGGACATTTCTATAAAAAATGAAAATTGTGAAAAATGTTGCAAAACTTAGGTATAAATAAATTTACCTTAACACAAATACCGCAACCGATGCAAAGTTCTTCTGAAAGAGATGCTATCTTGGATGTAGGCGTGACTTCAATGCAAAGTTTTCCCATACGCACTACAGGACATGATTTCTTGCACTCCTGACGGCAACGCTTGGGTTTGCATTTATCATCGCTAACTATAGCAATACGCGTTTGTTTATCTGTTTCCTCGTGCTCTTTCCTACGCGACATGCTAAAAAATAAGAAATATGCAATAATTATAAGACTTTTTAAAGTGGAAACGTGTTTTCTTTTTGTTATAAATGCACATTGACAACGAAGCAATCTTCACTACTTGTGCCCTTCCCCGCACCAACTATATGGACAACTATTCATACACGCGTATTTACAAGTCAGCCTGGTTGGCATTGCATTTGCTATAGACAGACAATCATGAGCAACTAAGGTATCCACAATATAACCTCAATTTGCTTTAATCTAAATTAATAGAAAAATTTCGTATAACTCACACACAAATTCTCTTATTTTTAATTTAATTAATAAGCTTAAATATTTTCTAAAATATTTAGGTGTAATACCTTAAAGATTAAAAAATTTATTAAATACGGCGAACTAAACACCTCGCCAAGAAAATTTCAAAAGGGAATGTCAAAACGCAAACGTCATTAAAGAGAACTGCCTTACCTACATATTTTGATTGATATTAGCAGAGATCGTAAATTATACTCTGTTGATAGACGGATTTTAAACAAACCATTATATTAAAAAAATGTAGAAATTATGATCAAACTTATTGCTTTATCTGCATTGATGTTAAAAAAAAATATTTTATGGTAATACGTTTTTCTAATACTTTTTTGAATTACGTTCAAGTTTTGCGTAATAAATTAGAAAAATGGACTCCACACAAAGCTTCCATATGTGGAATGTTTGGTTTAAGGTGGTGTCAAAAATCGATGACGTTTTGACATTTGACATTACAGTTCGTAGTTGTATTTCGTTTTTTATCATTCGAACCAAAATTCACACGTCTTAATATTGTTATTATAATTAAAAATGGTGGAAGAAACCCCTATAGTTGAAAATGTTGAGAAAACTGAAGTGGAGCAGGCTGCTCCGCCACCGGAACCAACCAAAATATTCACTGTAGAAAGTAAGATGAGATAAATGCATTCATTCAGGCACTACCCTTAACCTAGAAATGCAAAATGCATTTTAATTCTTACCAATACTTTCTCTCATTTGTTGTGTAAAACATATACGTTTTCGTATTGTAGTTCTACATATGGTAAAAGATGCACAACAGCAACATGGTTTGAGGCATGGTGACTATCAACGTTACCGTGGTTATTGCACTCGTCGTATTCGTCGTCTCAGGAAAACCTTAAAGTACCCTCAGGGCGACAAGCGTCACTTCAAACGGAAAGATGTGACCCTAGCTCAACTGACTGGAAAACGAGCAGATGAACGCTTCATACATATTCCATTGATAAGCGCCGAACGTGCATGGTCGTATGCAATGCAGCTAAAACAAGAAGCCAACACGGAGCCCAGAAAGCGTTTCCATTTGATTAACAAACTCCGTAGGGCATGTTTCTATGCTTTACAATTACAAGAACTTTGTAATGTGAGTTTATTTTTGTTTACTTCAAAAATTTGTTCATATATAATTTTTCTTAAAGTCTGAAGCATTTGATGCGCGCACTAAGCTGGAATGTGAAGCTTATGTTGCTTGGATGCACGGTACTCTACACTTTGAATTGCAATTGTGGGGTTCTGCCTTAGAACATTTGAAACGAGCTCAAGTAGTTTACGAAAATCTTGCCAAGGCATTACCTGAGGATGAACAAGAATTGTACCGTGCTAAAGTGAACGAATTTACGCCCAATCTTCGTTATTGTGCTTATAATATTGGTGGTGGTGGCGGCACCAATAAAATTGATGATTTGCTTGAATTGCGTGCACAAGGATTGTTGGAAAATCTGGATCTATTGGTTAGTCAAACAAAAATGGAGAGTAGCGAAGGCTTGCAAACCATTGAATGGCGCAGTCGCAAGGTTACTGTACGTCCAGAGAAAGTTCGTCTCTTTTTGCTCAGTATACAAGAAGTCGATAAGTCATTAGAGAAGACTACTAAAGTAGACTCAAAAATCGAATTAATTGAACGTATTTTGATGGATTGCAAAGATGCCATACAAGCAGTTAAAGAAGAAATCAAGCAAGATCCAAAGTTGCGCTCGCTAACCACAGGTCAGACTGTGACCGGGGTACAATATTTACTAGCATATTTATCATACATACGGCACAGTCGTACTTTGCAAAGAAATCTCTGTCTTGTAGAGCAGGTAAGAATTATAAACAGCTAATTTAAAAATAATTGTAAAATTTCACCAATTGTATTTGTGTCTAGGTGAAATCTAACTTCGATGATCCAAATCAAAAGTCACAAGTTGTCGGCGAAGGCAAGCGGGTACGCCCACAGGATCTCGCACGTTTATACGAGATTATTTTGCAAAACGTCTCTGAAATGTTACAAATCCAAGGGATGGAAGACGACGCTGCCTACAAAGACGAAATGGAAAATTTGGCTCTGACATTTAAAGCATTCCGTTGTTATTACATCGCACTAACTCTAATTGATATGAAAAAATGGAAAGAAGCTGTTGCTCTTTATGAACGTTCTTCGAAATATGCTAACGAAGCACTGAGCGGTAAAGTCAGTGATGAATTCAAGTTAACTGATGAATTGAAAAAGCTTGTGTCTACCATTGAGGGTTGCAAATTTTCTGCGCATGCATACAGTGTGCTTGAAAATGATACCTCAGAGGATTCGGTTTCCACTTCCAAGTCTCAAAAATCGACAAAACCATTATACGAGCGGTTGTCACAGTACAAGGAGGACCAGTCTTTGCACACGAAAACGCCAAACGTGTTCAAGATGACACCCGAGATGGAGGCAATACCATGCAAACCACTCTTCTTCGATTTAGCGATTGGCCATATTGAACTACCATCGCTGGATGATAAGCTGCAGTCGCCTGGCAATAAAGGCGCATCGATTTCCGGTTTTGTTAAGGGATTTTTGGGCTGGGGTGGAAAGAAATGAGGTGCCTGCGGGGTAACAACATTTAATAATGCTACGAACATCATTAACCATCTTTTTAGTTAATTACAAAAATGAATGAAATATTTCATGCTTTTTAAAGCTGTGAGTGAAATTGCAATCAGAAGAAAATTTCAGAACAAACTTATAATTGAGAAATGCATTTCGTGTATGCTGAAACAAGCTAATTGGACAGTTAATTTAAAGTGCCGGTAATTGTTTTTTTTTTATAAATTGTTTTTTATTTTATTTTTTGATTCTTTTTCGGAATCAATCAAACCATAAACTTTTTTAAAGTGGATTGTGAAATAAAACATTGGTTCTTATATATATACACAGTATATTTAAAAAATATATATTTGCATTTTAGTCATTTTGGTAGTTGCTTTCAGAACCAAAGAGCAAATAACGCTAATCACATACCTTTGTCAGCTACTTAAAGTATACAATTGTTGCTAAATTGAACTAAATGCATATAGGTATACGCATGTGTGCCTCGAACTATTTTTCTAACCAAGTACCAAAGTAGCCGTTTTGATGAAACTCTAGCGCTAGATCTTTTATTCTAGAATGGTACTCGTCGGTTAATTTTTGTGTAACCTTTATTTCGTTGGCATTTGGTACTGCTTCACTGATGGCATCTAAATTTGGTATATTATTAGGATCAAATGTAACTGCAGGCAATACCCACATGGAAACCGCTAAACCGTACAGAGCATGTGCAGTAAATTCTTTAGTAATATTTTCCAATGAAAAGGTCTCTCGTATTGACTCTAAGTGCTCGCGAGAAACTAAAAGTTGTTCCAAGCGATTGTGCAGAGCGCTACGGTAGGTTTCCAACAAACGATGCGTATGCGCATCACGAAGTTCGCGTTTCGTGCTGGTGAACATAAAATGAAGGATATCAAAAATGAACGAAGTGTAACGCATTGCCTGCAAATAAACCGAAAAATATATAAATAAGTATTGCAATAGGCATATCCACAAAATGGTAACAACGTTTCACCTGTAGATCAAAGAATTTAACTGCTTTCGGTCCCCGGCATGCGTTGTCATCCTCCATGTTGGATTTAAACATGATGTTGTTGACATACAAATCACCATGACACATTACACTAACAGAATCGCTGGCATTTTTAATACTATACATTATTTTTTGATACAATTCAGCTTTTAATTGCTCTATCATACAAATTGAATCGGAAAGGCTGCCATCAACATTTGATTCACGTAAACTCTTCAATGATTCCTCTATTGAGGATGTGAGCAAATTGCCGTAAAAACTTTCCGCCTCCTCACAATACACAATTTCATTAACTTTGGCAAATCGCTCACGAAAATTGCTGTCATCCAAATGCTTAGCCGCTATAGATGTAGCATGTAACTTAGCGAGTTCCTATAATGAAGGTGGAAGAAGAATTTTTATAATTTTGTTTAGTTACTTTTCTAAGCGTGTTTAAATCTTACCTTCATAACTATTTCACAATGATAAAGATCGAACGGTAACAAACGATTTGGCATGCGATAGCCGAGCTGCTTCAGATCCTCCAACGCTATCAGCTCGCCTTTCTTATCCGTGCCGGCATAATAGCATTGTGGAAATACTGTGTCACCATTGATGAAATATTTTTCCAGGGCTGGTATCACATGAGTATAGGCATTTATTTCATTGTAAAATGCTTCATCACAACGAAACAGAAGGCGGCGCGATTGACTTAAAATTTGCCTTTTGACTATGAAACTAAAACACTGTGCACCTGAAACAAGATTTTTGTATTTAAAAGATATCTCACGTAATATAAAACAATTATTATTAAAAAGTTTCAATATGATGAAAATAAAATTCTTAAATGACTAACTTAAGAAACACTGTCTTTAGAGAATCAATAGGTACGCTTGGAAGGATGAGGCACAATATTTTCATTTGTGGATGATATTTTACATTACAAATTTCCACCACTGAGGATAAGCGCTTATTAGTTTTCGGCATAAAATACTGAACCCATAAATTTTTTGGTCGTATCAAATAATTATCCATTATTAAACAAGTTTTAAATCGATTATTCAAAAATATTTGTCTACCTGTATATAAAGACAACGTGCACACCGATGCACAGCTGTTTTTTGTTTACATGTTTTCAAGAAATAAAAGTAAAACCGCAGTGAAGCGAATGATGTGTATAAATTCTATAAAATTAGTGCATCCATAAGTATGTATGTGTATAAATATAAAACGAATTGTTATGTTTGCGTGAATGACCTTCGTGAGCGAGATAAGAAAACAAATTGGAGAGTATTCGTATAAGAAAGAGATGCGATGAGTGTGTGATTCTTCTGTTTGCATTGAGCGGATTCTACGATGGGGGCGTTTGAGTGTAGTTCTAATGCTTTCATTTCGATTTACATGTGTGTGCGAGGTATTTGCGTTAGCGCAGACAAAAAGCGACTTGACGTTGCGCAAGGTCATTGCGAAAAATGCAAATTTGATGTTGTCTAGAAACAATACAAGTACATAGTATTTGTATAAATATGTATGTACATACTTTTGTATTTTATAAAAAACTATTTCATTCATTACATAGATGGAACTAAATATTTCCACACAAATAAGCTACTTAATAATTGTGGATTGATTATAATTAATGAAGATATAAGAAATCGGTCTCAACAATATTTAGTACCATACCATAATATTGGGAATGTACGTGGTTAATATCCGATTCTAGGCATTTTGACAATATATTAAAATGCTGGTAAGATTTTTATAGTTTTAAAAATAGCTATGCTATGTACATTACGCTTATCATGGTGTGGAGCTCCGCTCGATCACTTTTCAAAAGTGTTGAGTTCACTGTGGTCCGTCAGTCATCAATGTACCAAATTTTGATTCAGCTACGTGATCTGCTATTTAGTTCTTGCCACCTTTTTTTTTCAACAAACGGGATTTTGTGGTCTCAATCTGCAATTCCAATATCCTCAAAGTCAAATGGAAAATGTGTACCAAATTTCATCAAGATATTTAAATTTTTAAATTTTCACTCAAACAAATGATGAGCAACAAGTTGCAATAGTAAAAAGAAGAAATGTATGGAAAATATAATTTACAACAAAATCGTTTCATTTTAGACTTTCTAGCGGCCACTATCCAAAGCCACGACGGTGACTACTCTGATTACGCAGAATTTCATTCCGATAAGTATGAATAATATAAAATAATCATACAAGTAATGTAATTTTTTATTAATTCGGAATGGTTGCAAAGTAGGCAAGTGAAGGGAGTCTAATTTAATGTAACGATAATATATTATGTATGAATAAGTGTGCATTGTGGTGTAATTAAAAACTGTATCTTCTTATTATGGCATGCAAATAATGGCGCGTATCTTTACATAAATTCTTAGAAAAATGCCTGATTAGAAAGAATTTATAATGCCATCAGTTCGTTTCCACTATTTTATTGGAGTTTGTAAAATTTAGTCAAGATAAAGTTGATTTCATAATGAACATGGTGGAAGTAACACGTGAACCTGGAAAGAATATAAATCCTTTAGCTTAGCTGATGTCGAAGGTTTAGGCTGTAGTAGTAGAAGTATATTAAGCTAATTTATTTATTTATTTTTTATTGTGTATCCAACCACACTGTACACAGGTGCATACAAGTTGACATGTACAGCTGCTGCCAGCTAATTAGAAACGCTCCTTATTTTTATAGGTGGCTGACGAGTATAATGATAAAAATGTTTGATATACCGTTATTTATACTACTTTTGTTACCTATTTACTACTAAATTCACTTTGTTTTGTAGTTGTGAAGTTAAGGTTCTTTTAATTTTTTCCCAATGCGTTATGATATAGAAGGTGAATTAAGTGCGACCGCTTAAAACAGTTAAAAAAAATTAAAATTCCTTAAGATGTTAATTTTTGTTTATGTATTATAATATATTAAAATGTACTATTGAAGTTGAAGGAAACGCTGCAGCTGTACACCTACTCTTTACAGCTAGATTGACAGCTAGAATTTTGACTTTCGTCGGTCTGGAAAGATGTGCAAAGAAGTTTCGAATAAGGCCAAATGCTCAAAAAAATTGTTTTGAATGTCCTTAAGCATATACAGAATTTTAAAACTATTTTCAATATTGCACGCAAAGTAAAAACCCAAAAAACATCATCAGAAATATACCGCAGAACTACTACTTTCTCTCGAGGAGACCCATAAAAAGAGTTCCACTGACATTCTACGTGAAATTCAAGACGCATATAATGTCCAAATATCCCGTGGTTTGGTCGAATCTGGACTTCACGACAATGCAGCACGCAGGAACCCACTTCTGACTAAAATTCGTAGAAACGACGTGTAGACCTTGGCAACTCTTATTGGTCTAAGATAACACATCAACGGAGGTATGTCGTTTGGAACGGCTTAAAAAAAATTAATCACTTAGGACCTGATGGTCGAAGGTATGTTCATCGTCCAATAATTCAATAATTTAATCCTCGCTTGGTTCCATGCGTAGTTGAGCATGGTAGAGGATCAATCGTGGTGTGGGGATGTTTTATCTATAATGGTGTTGATCCACTCCATAAGAATAATGGAATTTTAAACAAGGAGCAATACGTCATGCTGCCATGGGCTGAGGAAAATTTGCCTGTTATAAAGAAGATAACAATTCAAAGTCAACGGCTAAGTTGACACAAAAGTTTTTTAATGAAAATTCCATCAATGTTTTGGAGTGAGAATCGTCCAGCCCAGATTTAAACCATAAAGAACATGTCTGGATGATGTTCAAAGAGACATATGCACCAAAAATATCCTAAATAAGGATGTACTTTGCTTTGCGGCATGGCAAGCTACATCATTAGTGCGCTTTTAAAGTCTTATAACGTGAATTCGGAATCGATGTGAAGCAATATTAAAGTAAAAGAGATAACCAACAAAATAGTAACTGAAAGTAAGCAAGTTTTTGTAATATCATTATTTTTTGTGGATACAATATTTTCGTTTCTAATTAGCTGTCGCACTAAATCGTTTGATTTTAGTTAAAATCTTCAAAACAAAAACAATTTTTAACAAAATTTTTACTATTAGAGTTTAAGTTTAACATCAGTTTCAATAAAATATGGGAATGGAAAATAACAAAATTTACTTCAAAATAGGCGTCGTTTCTAATTATCTGTCAACAGCTGTACATATGTATGTATATCTGCTGGAAGTGGCAAAGGAACACATGTTCCAAGCTTAATTAACATTCTCATTTCTTACTCAGGTTATCGCTTGCTGGAACAGGAGAAAAAACTTTCATTCGGAAGCAAATTCTACCGGTCATCATTCTCTTTTGAAAGTTTATAGATATTTTTGTAAATAACTTACTGATATGTTAAATAATATCTGCTCTTAATGGGATGAATTCGATATTGTTAAGAGAATTGTTTTCAGGTTGTTAGACTTGTAGCTAACTTTTGCTTCTGGCCGACTTCACTTCTAGGGGAATTCATTAAGGGGTTACAAGGGTTTACGGGTTTCAAAATATCAATTTATTAAATTCTAGAACAGCTCTAGAATATTGTACTAAATTTTCAAGTTGATACGAGTAATAGTTTTGGAGACACAGCCTTTATACTAGTTTTCCTCGAAACTGTGTGTTTTGAAGTCGGTTGGCAAGATTTCTCGAGAACTACTCAACCGATCTTCTTGAAATTTCTCGCAGGTCTTTGAGATGCAATTCCTAAAGGTATGGACGAAGGATTTTTTCCCGATTACAACTATTTCAAAAAAAAAATGTGGCCAAATTTTTCACTGAAATTAAAATTTTTTTGTAAAAATGTCAGCCAAATATCCAATTTTCTTTTTTTTCCTGCGTCCAAGTTCTAAGTTAAGGTTTTAACTAAAGCACACACTTTATCTCTTTAGATGTTCCTGTAAGGAGTTATCCACATCTTTTTTCCCGAGGGATCACCGGACTGTTTTAATATAACATTTAATTTTTCATATAAGAAAAAATTTGCTGAAAAAAGGCTTTTTTTACCCGAGGAAACCCATGTAACTCCTTAAATGCATTTGAGCAACTTTGTAATGTTATTAATACTAATTTGTTTGCTTAAGGTGTTTTAACTAAAAATCATACATGTGGTCATGTAGTTTTCTAAGAACGCTGCACTGATAAATAATTTCATTAAATCAAATTCACTACTACATGAGTCATAACTGCACACTTGGCATGTCCTTACAAACAAAAGGAGTATTTTTATCACCTTTGCGCTCCGTCACGCGGCCGTCAAATTCATGCGTGCTCACTTCTATACGTTTAACTACCGACATGTAATTGTCGCCCAGACCACTGCCAGCCGAGCAGCGCCAATATTTCACTTCAAAAGGTATCACTTTTCTTAAAGGCACATAGTTGCACAAAGTTTCCACGTCCTCACCATATTCATCGACTTCGTCCATTTTCACACACACGCTTGCATATAAATTTCGCCGGAAGTTCAACGCAGGAGTAGGTTATTGAAAGTCAAACCGTTACAAAAGATGCACGACACGTTCTTTGGCTTTCCACCAACTGTCAGTGTGGAAATCGAATTGCTCCGCAGCTTTTACTGCTGTTAAAAAGGTGATAAGTCGTTGATTTCCGCAAAGCGCAGCGGAATACACAAACGCATGCACACGCATGCACATATGGGCGCATTCACGCGAACTGCTGCAGTTTTCAAAATCTAGCTGAGCTTATAGTTTTCATGGCAACGTAAATGAAAAATAAAATAAAAACGACAACAAAAGCAAAAAAATTACAAAAACTATGAGAAAATTCGTACGACGATTTTCACTGATTTACGGGGCAAGCGAAATATGCACATACATACATATGTACATATGGCAAGTGCGGTCTTCATCACCGGTATTCACATGTGTTGGCATGTGCCAAACTAAGCGTGCCACCGTTACTTTCGGTAGTAACCCGGTGACATAATTTTCCGCTACACTTGGGTTTACCAACAACAACTCATTTTAATTTTTTTTTATTTATGCTTTTTTAATTATGCTGTGACACAACTAAAACAACAAACGCTGCACTTCTTCGTGACGCTATGAATTCAACGGTAAAGCAGACATGAAATGCACTGAAAATCTATAAACATTCTGTTTGAGCCAAACACCGAGTGAGAACTAAATTCTCAAGCGCCGGATGCATGCGCTCGTGCATTGATGCCGCTGCATTAGCCAATAACTGTAAGTGCTAACATGTATGCGTGCGTATGCGTGGCCGTGTGAGTGTGGACGCTGACGGCGACGCCGCTACTGCCGGGAATTCAACTGCCTTGGCGCTGGTCTGAGTGCGCCCGGTTCATATTTATTTTGCTTTGCATTTTTCGAATGCATTTTTCTGCCTCATCTCTCGTTCTTTCATAGTAACAATGCAATATGGCAAATGTGGAACAAAAACAAAAACATAAGCAAAACAACTAATGAATGGTTGGTGTATGTGCTTATGTGTTTAGCAAAGCCGGCAACTTAGCAGCATAGGCACGACCAGAAGTGAGCCCAAAACAAATGTCAACTAGTTACAATCGCACATTAAAGCTCAAGGACAACATGACGTATGAGCGATTTTGATGATTTGCCAATGTCACTGCTCAAGTGCATACACTCGTGAACATAATTGTGTCTGTGTGTGTTTGTAGCCAGTCAGCTGTACATGTGGGCATGCCATAAAGTAACACTATTTAACAAATATTATACTTTTAAAACTGAAATTCGGGTGACTGTCCGTTCGTAAGTTCGTCCGTCCGTCTGTGCAAGTTGTAACTTAAGTAAAACTTAATATATAGTATTATGATGAAACATCGTTTGCCCGTTGCATGGTAAAAAATTAAGGCTCAACTCGTAAATGGGCGTAATCGGTCCATTAACCGAAAACGTTAAGGCGCCACTAAAATAAGATATAGAACTTTAATTTGGACAAGGGATCGCAGTGGCTAGGGGAATCTGTGGGCTGAAAATTTTGATAAAGTCGCCGCAGTCCCGACCTCTAGCATAATTAAAGTACATAACTCCTGGACACTAAAGCTACAATAGTGAAATTACTCAGAATAAATCTGCCAAATACCCCCACCGACACCGTAAAATTGGTTGAAATCAGAAAATAATTCCATCCACTACTCATATAACGATACAGTTAAAAGCTACAAATGGTGCGATAAATTAACAACTAAATATGACAGAGACATTCAATTTTACACCCGAGTGTAAGAGCCTCTATTGAAACCAGTGTACAAATTATATAATGGGGGTAGCACCGCCCACTTTTAGGTAAAAGCACTTATCTTGGGACCCGACCGATCGATATCGACTAAATTTGGTACGTGACATTATTCTCATGTTTCACGAATTCGGACTACCGCCCTACTAAACCTACTTCTCACGGAGGATAATTTTAAAATCCACTTGATCAAAAAGCAATTGATTTAGCTGGATAAGAGCTTGGTACTAATAATTACTTTAAAGTATGCCACCACATGGCCAATAATTGTCCAAATCCAACAAAAACTGTTCAAGCCTCCAATTACCGGAAATGTGAACTCCAGTACGGATAGTTGACTTTTGCCTGAAAATAACGATCATAGTAAGGGATATACAATTAAAAGTCAGACACAATTCTCTACTGATAATACAATAGTGTCTCTATGGTTTAGAAATGTATACCTAATATAAACATTTTCGAACTTCCAGGTGACTACATACCGCGTATATCGGCCAATATATGAGTTATCCCAATGAAAGTCAGAATGCATATTTTACACATAACAGTGCATATTTATGCCTAAAATAAAGTAAATTGGGCGAAAACTTGATCTAGGCCCCATATAAATAAATATCAGGATTTTCGGACACCCGGCTGACTTTACTCCATATAATTGGTAATTGTACGTGAGATACATTAACAAAACACATAAAACTTTTTTTTTAGTGTGTGGCATGTTAATAGTATGTGGGATTGGCAAAAATAGATAAAACAGGTCCAATACTATCCCTAACTTTCATATTTTCCTGAAGAAAGTTGTTCCTGCAAGTTGCAAGAGTATAAAATGATCGGTTACGCTCGAACTTTTAGCCCTTTCTTACTTGTTTATTTTAAAAAACGTTCTGTGGGCGTTTTGTTACAATTGAATTAAATGAAGATCAAAAAAGTGAACGAAGTAACAATAGTCTCATCAACCACTCTCCGCATGTGTACGTTACCATTTTTTATTTCCAAAAATGAAAACCAACACGAACGGAGCATTTTATGATGATATTTTAGCTAATTCAAGCAGCAGTAATCGAGGTGATGATCAACATTTCTATAAATGTTATAAAAAATTCATGCCTGTACCGGTTGATCTTTCGAAATAAAATCTAATGGCAAATTTTTTTTGATAAATACTAATTTTTAAAAATAATATAATGTGCATTCTATACACGGTATTCAAAATTTCGGTTTTGGCGCACTTGTGTATAGCTATCTGGTACTGTTTGAATTACCTTGCTGGAGTTGAGGTGTTCAATAAATATATTTTTTTATATTACGCTCTTCTCAGATTTCATTGCAAATTAAATTTTTACTGCCATGACATTTATCTCATTTTTAATAGCATAATACCAAATGCTTTACTTATAAAATATAAGAGTGGGCGTGGTTAATAAAAGCCAGAGATAATGTGTATTTATTTATTATTTATTGGAGGTATGCGCTTAAAAGGGTATGACCCTGAAGCTACCCACTCTTTCGATACAACTAAATTCAGCCTGATTCTTTTGGAGATCAAAGGATTAGCCAAATATCTACTACATTTTACATATGCGGGATAAAATTAGTAATTAAATATTTTATAAAGTATAGGGTTTTTCAATGGGGCACTACAAGAGTGGACCAGCTGAAGGGCCGCCTCGATCGTGCGATTTGACGCCGTTAGACTATTTCCTGTGGGGTTACGTCAAGTCTACGATTTATACCAACAAGGTATCGCCAGCGACGATTGATGAAGTTGGTATGAATATCGAACGTGAAATTGCAGCATTATCGGACGATGTATGCTTGAAAATCGTGGTGGTGGCCATGCAAAAGAAATCGAGTTTCATACATAATGGCATCGAATGAATAATGAATTTCACTGATATACCAAACCGTTTTTGTTCTATTTAAACAAAGTTTGTCTTATTGAAAACCCCTTTGTATAAAAACGATACAATTTGTAATATATAATATGTATTTATTCTCACACACGAATTTCGTTCGCATGTTATAAAAAACAATTGTTCAAATATCCATACCAATAGTTTTCTAAATTATTGTTAATGATAGTAGATATAAATAAAATCATAATCTCGAATATCATCTAAATCCCCACATGTACATCAAACAAAAAAATAGATAATTTTAGGAATGTAGGAATAGTTGTAACCTCAAATCAATAATCACATTAATCCATAAACACACTCAGCTAGCTTTTAACAGTAGTAATAATTTGATTATTTTTATTATTGTCTCAACGGAATTAGTTACAGAAATAAATTAATAAATTTTTTTATATGAACCATTTTCACTCAACTGTGCTCACCATAATGCCACCAACTGCACTTGAAATTCGTATGCATGTGTATCCTTGGGATACTTTAAAACATACACAGCTGTTGCACTTGGCTTACTTTTGTTGGTTGCCATAGATTCAGCAAACAAAACGGCTGTTCGGTGGTGCAGTTTCTTCACCACCTCCTCCTTTTACATTTAGTCGGCCACCGCACTCTTTTATATAGACATAAGATCATTTGCGCATACATATCTTTATACTCTCGCAACAAAGTTGCTAAGGAGAGTATTATAGTTTTGTTCACATAACGGTTGTTTGTAAGTCCTAAAACTAAAAGAGTCAGATATAGGGTTATATATACCAAAGTGATCAGGGTGAAGAGTAGTGTTGAAATCAGGATGTCTGTCTGTTGTAATTTGAGTAAAAATTGAGATATCATGATGAAACTTGGTACACGTATTTTTTGTACCTCTCCATAAGAAGGTTAAGTTCGAAGATGGGCAATATCGGCCCACATTTGGCGAAAACCCAAAACCTATAAAGTGTCATAACTAAGCCATAAATAAAGATATTAAAGTTAAATTTGCCACAAAAGTGGGCGTGGCCCCGCCCACCCTGTCTCTTATACACATCTAGATGTGTATAAGAGACAGAGAGACAACTGCTATAGCTATGTCAACCAAACTCTATAGAGTCATTTCCTTCAAGCATTTTCATATACAGTTCAAAAATGGAAGAAATCGGATAATAACCACGCCCACCACCCATACAAAGGTTATGTTGAAAATCACTAAAAGTGCGTTAACCGACTAACAAAAAACGTCAGAAACACTAAATTTTACGGAAGAAATGTCAGAAGGAAGCTGCATCCCGGATCTTTTT